TTATATGCTGCAAACGCAGCGAATGTAATGCTACTACGTCACAGCTGCCTCGGTAATTAAGGGCTGGAATGTTTTTGTGAAGGCAGTTAGAGCAGACGAATTTCCCCCCTCGCTGTATAATGACGGTCGCTAACCATATATGTGTATTTTTACTGTTTTGGGCTTGATTTGATTGTCCTTTGGTGAAAACAAATGTTCAATTGTGAAAGGGAAACCCTTTTCCCCTGAACGTTAAAAGACAGCTGACTTTGTATTTGTCTGAAATATCAACGTTTGGAGTCGTTTATATATTCGGAAATCCATATTATGGTTAATATTTATAATATAATATGGACAATGGTAAAATTCATTATCACAGTTTAAGTGCTATTCACAAATGTATGTAAATCACTACTTCGTGATGAATGAAGCATGGCAATAAATGTATGCATCTGATTCTTCATTTGTTCTGTATTCTTTGACGAGAATGAGTTTCGTTAATGATGATCACTCTCACAGATTTTTTGATAAGAGGATAGGACTTTAACTGGAGAATAGTATAGGCGGTCTGTGCACATGTGGTGAAACTGATACCTCATTGATTTGCTAATCGGGACTTGGAAATCATAGTCTGTCATTAAATTGATTTTAAAATATATGGTTTTGACTGTAGTACGTCCAGACATCATACTATTATGTTGTAAACAACTTATCATTTCTTATGTTAAGTAAAACAATTATTGATAACTTCCTGAATTTCCAATTGTTCAATGAACAGAATTATTCACAGCTCTGGCGTGAGACAACAATAAATTAGATGTTTTATATTTAATAATGTTATATGTTTTAAATGCTTTTAGAGTGGCTCATAAGCCCTAGAGGCTGGATATTGTACTTTTAATGGCAACTTGCTTTTGTTTAAAATGTGTTTTATGTACAATATGTGACACTTAAATAAACATTTCTTCTTCTTCTGTTACCACAGATTGTCCATTTTATGATCTTAGGCACATGTCGGCGCACTTACATGTGAGCCGTCTAGACGACTGTCTGTTTTGTAATTAAATGGCAGCTGCCATCCAGCCGAATACTTAATCTTGAGACCTATTAGTTGTCTCATAATTAACCAAAACATTAGCCCAAGAAACCAAACTCTAGCTCGCAAACACCCCTTACTCACCCCAATATCCCAAAGAATAATTAACTACCTCAATGAACACCGAACTCAAAATCTTAAACAAAACTGCAAAAAATCAAATATCTTCACCCCTAAACTCAAAATACCCAAAATAGACAACGCTAGCTAACCAAATAAATAAACAAACCGACCCAACAAAACATAGCTAAAACCACAACACTTGCATACATACACGAAAATTGGCCAAATGGTTGTCACATATACACTGACGGATCTTCAGACCCGATCTCCAACCACACAGGCTTCGGAGTCCATACCACACAACCACTTATATCCACACAATCTTACCGACTCCCTAACAACCAATCTATATTCACGGCCGAACTTATGGGCATGGCCTCAGCCCTGCATAACCAACAATCTAAAAACAACAATAAAATCCTAATTCTCACCGACTCCCTTAGTGGACTACAAGCCCTCCAAAACAAAAATACCAAAAAACGACCTAAATTAATAAACCAAATACTTAAAAGCTCCAACGACCTAACAAAAGCAGGCAAACAAATAACCTTCTTGTGGATCCCCGCCCACGTAGGAATTTACGGCAACGTAAGCGCCGATAAAGCAGCTAAACTATCTCTTAAAATACCAGAAATAAGCCTAAACCTACCCATCTCAAAATCAGAAATTAAAAGTGTAAACAAAACAAAAAATAACCAAAAAATGGCATAATCAATATCAAAACTCAAATAGCCAAATCAAAAAAGTGCTCAGAAAACCACTAGCCAAACCTAAAATCCTACACCCCTCTAAAGAAATTGACAGATTAATTACAAAACTCCAAACAGGACACACGAACCTAAATAACCACCTAAAAAAACTTAAGACACACCACAGGCAACTGCCCCCACTGAAAACAACCCGAAACCACAGAACACGCACTCATCTACTGCACCCACTACCAAACACACAGAACCACACTACTAACCACCCTCAATCTAAATAAGGTTCCCACTCTAGATGAAATACTAAACCCTCAAAATAAACTAGAAAACTTCAAGGCCCTAGACGTATTCCTAATCAAAACAGACCTAATTAAGCGCATCTAAAAACTAATTAATCTACCAATCCAAAATCCAATAAACATACAAACACCCACCTCACCCGGCTCCCTTAGTTCTCTCCTCCACCCACCTCGGCATTTATTCCAAATTTAAAAATCTCCAAAATTCAATATAAGCAACCCTTAAAAGCCCCCTCTTGGGTTGCACACACCACTTTCACCCTTTTCGGAATACACTAAATGGTCCGGCCAGGCCCGTGTGCGAAATACGCTGCAGTCGGAAAGCGCACGTTAAATCTTCAATATCAGTCAGTAGTTGTCTCAGCACTACACAATCAGCAATCTAAAAGACAACAAAAAATCCTCATCCTAACTGACTCCCTCAGTGGACTACAAGCCCTCAAAAATAAAAACACTAAAACCACCCCAAACTAATAAATCAAATACTCAATAGCTCAAACAACTTAACTAGGGCAGGTAAACAAATAGAGTTCATTTGGACCCCCGCCCACGTAGGAATCTTTGGAAATGAAAAGGCAGATAAAGCAGCAAAATTATCCCTTTAACTCCCAGAAATAAGCTTAAACTTACCCAGCTCAAAATCAGAAATCAAAAGTCTCACTAAACAAAAAAATCAACAAAAAATGGCAAAATATATACCAAAACTTAAATAGCCAAATCAGGAAAGTACTCAAAATTTTTTTTGGAAAAATTCAAAGCCTTAGGTTTATACCTTATTAAAACAGGACTAATTAGTCGCATTTAAACCCCAAATAAAATCATAAAACCAAAACTACCTTATCTAACAACCACCCAACACACATAGCTCCCTTAGTTCGTCCCCCACCCACTCTTGGCATTCTTTCCAAATCTCAAAATTTCAAAATTACTATATAAGCAACCCCTAAAGCCCCTAAATCATAGTCTTTTTATTGTTCAAATTACTGATAAAAGATATTTTAACTTGTTCCTTCTAACCATATTTCCAAACAATTCCAAACCATTCCAAACCATTCCAAACGTTTCCAGTGTTGGAAATATGTTTGGAAATGTTGCCATTCCAATTTTGGATTTTCTGGAAAGATCGATCTTTCCAAGCTTTGGAAAGTTTGGAATGAGCGATCTTTCCAAAGCATTCCAACGTTCATTCCAAATTGGAATGGACGCTATTTGGTCTTGTGTTTAACGCCACACTCAGCAATAGTACAGCTATATGACGGCGGTCTGTAAACAATCGAGTCTGGACCAGATAATCCAGTGATTGACATGAGGATCGATCCACGCAATTGGGAAAAAATGACATGGATGAACCAAGTCAGCGTGTCTGACCACCCGATCCCGTTAGTCGCCTCTTACGACAAGCATATAACCTTTTAAGGCAAACTTGGGTTGCTGAAGACCAATTCTACCCCGGATCTTCACGGGTCGAAGGTGCCGGTAGATTGCGAACTCTCGACTACTGATACCCTGATAAGACCTTCCTTGTGCACCCTGGTTAGCCTCAGATGTTGAACGGACACTGATTCTTAAAGACCAATTCCTACAAAACTGGATAAATAGTATCATCGCACGTCCTTTGGGACCATATTATCAACATCATAATTTGTTTGTTGTTCAACGTTGCAATATTGCAGTCATGTGACGGCGGTCTGGACATAATTGAGTCTGGGCGAGACAATCCGTTGATTGACATCATAAGCATCGATCTACGCATATGGGATCAATGACAAGCATCAACCAAGTGATGAAATGGACCACCCGATCCCGTTAATCGCCTTCAACAAGCCCAGTCGCCTGTGCGATAAGCATGGGTTGCTGAAGGCTTATTCTGTACCCGGAAAAATCTGTAATCGGGCGGTGCTGGGCGTGGTACATGGTCTGGTAAACAGACATCAGCATCGTACAGGAGAATGATATCATCGGAATATTAGCAACGTTAAGGCCCTTACCTTTCTTACACAATTACTAACGTATGATATCGTTGGTATGTGAAAGTTTGGTTGGTTGTTTAACGCCGCGCTCAGCAATATTCCTGCTATATGACGGCGGTATGTAATAATCGAGTCTGGACCAGACAATCCAGTGATTGATAACACTACAATTTGGATCGATGACATGTATCAACCAAGTCAGCGAGCCTGACCACCCGCTCCCGTTAGTCGCCTCTTATGACAAGCACAGTCGCCTTTTACGGCAAGCATGGGTTGCTGAAGACTTATTCTAACCGTGGTATTCGCGGGTATGTTGTCTACTATCATACACCCCTATATATTGATGGAACAAACGCCCGTGTGTTGTCTACTATCATACACCCCTATATATTGATGGAACAAACGCCCGTGTGTTGTCTACTATCATACACCCCTATATTTTGATGGAACAAACGCATGTGCGTTGTCTACTATCATACACCCCTATATATTGATGGAACAAACGCCCGTGTGTTGTCTACTATCATACACCCCTATATATTCATGGAACAAACGCCCGTGTGTTGTCTACCATCATACACCCCTATATATTGATGGAACAAACGCCCGTGTGTTCTTTACTATCAACCCCCCCCCCCAAAAAAAAAATAAAAAATTATCAAACACAAATAGGCGGAACTCATAATCATGTCAGTTATTTCTCAAATTTCCTTTGACACACACTAACGGCTGAAGTCAACTGACGAAACAAAATAGTCATGAGTGCAGTGGCGTCACGAAGACGTGTGACAAGGCTCAATATGCTGATAAGCAACAGGGCGGCCGCGGACCGCTGTGTCTCTAACAGACAACTTTTAACATCAATATGAATAATATGAAATATACCTACATCAAAAGCCTGGCAAATCCAAACTGTTTTCAGGAAAAACAGACAGGAAAAACCAAAACTCCATTGCATCCCCGACATTGCAGAATGTGTCCACAGGCGACTTGAGCAGTCCCGCGTCTGGCTTCTGGATTCTGGCGACTCGCCTGGTCGACTCTCTCTCCGTGTGCACGATATTTCCGAGCGGCACGTTTTGTACATCGTGTTCTCCTTTGCCCATGCGCAATGAAATATATTTGTTTCCAATCCTTTGATTTCATAATACTTGTGGAAGAAAAAAAGTAGTGTTTAATTGCCGTGTGACGCGTTGCGTTGTACAGAATCAGTGTGTCATGTGGAAACATTAAAATACCTCATGAGTTGTGTTTTTGTTAATTATTACCAATCGAATAGTATCTAATTTGCAACGCCAGATGATATACGGATGAAAACGAATAATTTGTTTGTTTGTTGTTTAACGCCGCTCCTAGCAATATTCCAGCTATATGACGGCGCACTGTAAATAATCGAGTCTGGACCAGACAATCCAGTGATTGAAATCATGAGCATCGATCCATGTAATTGAGATACGATGACAAGCATTAATGAAGTCAGAGTGCCTGACCAACCGATCCCGTTAGTCGCCTCTTACGGAAACGAATAAGGGAACGATGAAAACTATCGGGAAATAAGCTTCACTGTCAGAACATTTGAAACATGAAACAGCGCCCATTCAAATTCAACATATGTCAGAATCAAATGTTGAGATGTGTTTGTGTGCATTGTTTCCAACGTGCATTAGGTAGAAAATGCTGGGAAACCAATGATAGCATATCATTGTAATGTGTCTAAAACTAAGTATTTATTTATTTCAGTCAGTATACAAATTATGTATTTGGACAGCGCTTGCTTTTTTTAAAAATTATATTTTTTCATATATACTCTTTATTCACCAACCATACATCTCCAATTCAATCTTATGACTTTTCACCCTTCCCCCAAAAAATAAATAATATTTATAATAACAGTGGTATATTTACAGGCGGTAATAATAAATTATTTCATAATGCCCAGTACACGAAGTGGGCGGTCCATGGGCGGATCGAGACGGGTTGGGTGGGGCAAGGGCGCGCCCTCACCCGCCACAACTCCATCCGTTCGCCCCTATTTGGAGCCTACAAATCATGTGAAATATCAAAAACGCTACAAACATGATAGTTAAATTATTTGATAACATGGTTTCAACAAACAATGATTAATTGACTACTGTTCGACAAAACAACGCCATGTATACCCCGAATTTCGAGCTGGCACTCTTTCCCTCCTTTTATATTACCAAACAGCCCAGCATTTACGGTTTATTGTGGGATTCATCATTTTCAACGTGGCCCTTGCTGAACGTGATTCGATACCGTTGGTCGGGAGAATCGTCAGTGTATACAGAGAAATGATATTGTGTACAGTCAATTTATGTGTGTCGGTACGCGCGGGTCAGCGTCCCCACAACAAATGATGCACGAGTTTGAAGTTAGCTGTGAACATTGGGGGCACGGGTGGCCCAGTCGTCTAAAGCGCCGCGATTCGCTGTGCAGAGTTGCGTCCCTTGGGCACGCCAGAAACCTATGATTTTGGGTTCGAATCCCGGTTCTCCCCGATTATGTTTCTAGGTTTGTCAGCACCATACCCGTGCTCGTGGGTTTCACCGAAGTGGTAAACGTCTGTGACCTGCATCACTTCGGGCTTTCCTCCCTCATTAAGCTGACACTCCGTGATATAACTGGAATACTGTTAAAAGCGGCGTTAAACCCAACTCACTCACTCACTGTGAACATCATGGTTTAAGAAGCACGGTATCTCGCACACTCACCACGTACATGGTTTGAGTTGATTATTTGATGACCAGCTTACCACCAACTACCAGGTTTTGATATTTTGGAGCCCTACCTACAAAACTGGATTCCATCTCTATACAACTCTGATTCCATCCCTATACAAAACTGACTCTATCTCTATACAACACTGATTCCATCCCTATACAAAACTGACTCTATCTCTATACAAAACTGATTCCATTCCTATACAAAACTGACTCTATCTCTATACAAAACTGATTCCATCCCTATACAAAACTGACTATCTCTATACAAAACTGATTCCATTCCTATACAAAACTGACTCTATCTCTATACAAATCTGATTCCATCCCTATACAAAACTGATTCCATCTCTTTACAAAACCGGATTCTATCTCTTTAGATAACAGGATTCCATCTCTATACAAAACTGATTCCATCTCTATACAAAACTGATTCCATCCCTATACAAAACTGACTCTATCTCTATACAAAACTGATTCCATTCCTATACAAAACTGACTCTATCTCTATACAAAACTGATTCCATCCCTATACAAAACTGACTCTATCTCTATACAAAACTGATTCCATTCCTATACAAAACTGATTCCATCTCTTTACAAAACCGGATTCTATCTCTTTAGATAACAGGATTCCATCTCTATACAAAACTGATTCCATCTCTATACAAAACTGATTCCATCCCTATATAAAACTGATTCCATACCTGTACAAAACTGATTCCATCTTTATACAAAACTGATTCAATCTCTATACAAAACTAATCCATCTCTTTAGATAACAGGATTCCATCTACAGAAAACTGATTCCATCCCTATTCAAAACTGATTCCATCTCTATACAAAACTGATTCCATCCCTACACAAAACTGATTCCATCTCTATACAAAACCGGATTCTATCTCTTTAGATAAGAGGATTACATCTCCAAACAAAACTGATTCCATCTCAATACAAAACTGATTCAATCTCTATACCCAACTCATAATATCTCTATACACAACTGATTCATCCCCATACACAACTGATTATATCTCTATACAAAACTGATCCATCTCTTTAAATAACATGATTCCATCTCTATACACAACTGATTCCATCTCTTTAGATAACAGGATTCCATCTATTTAGATAACATGATTTCATCTCTATACAGAACTGATTCCATCTCTATTCAAAACTGATTCCATCTCTTTACAAAACTGATTCCATCCCTATACAAAACTGACTCTATCTCTATACAAAACTGATTCCATTCCTATACAAAACTGATCCCATCTCTTTACAAAACCGGATTCTATCTCTTTAGATAACAGGATTCCATCTCTATACAAAACTGATTCCATCTCTATACAAAACTGATTCCATCCCTATATAAAACTGATTCCATACCTATACAAAACTGATTCCATCTCTATACAAAACTGATTCAATCTCTATACAAAACAAATCCATCTCTTTAGATAACAGGATTCCATCTATATAGAAAACTGATTCCATCTCTATACAAAACTGATTCCATCTCAATACAAAACTGATTATATCTCTTTACATAACAGGATTCCATCTCTAAACAAAACTGATTCCATCTCTATACAAAACTGATTCCATCTCTATACAAAACTGATTCCATCTCTTTACAAAACTGATTCCATCTCTGTACAAAACCGGATTCTATCTCTTTAGATAACAGGATTCAATCTCTATACAAAACTGATTCCATCTCTATACAAAACTGATTCCATATCTCTCTGTTTTCACTGGTCAAACAGACAGTTAACGTTCCATCCTGGTATGATACACTGTGGCTAAGCTGGTCAAACAAACACCTAAGGTACCATCCTGGTATGATACACTGTTGCTAAGCTTGTGAAACAGACAGTTCACGTACCATCCTGGTATGACACACTGGCTAAGCTGCTCAAACAGACAGTTAACATACCATCCTGGTATGATACACTGTGGCTAAGCTGGTCAAACAGACAGTTAACGTTCCATCCTGGTATGATACGCTGTTGCTAAGCTGGTCAAACAGACAGTTCACGTACCATCCTGGTATGACACACTGTGGCTAAGCTGGTCAAACAGACACTTGACGTAGCATCCTGGTATGATACACTGTGACTAAGCTGATCAAACAGACAGTTAACGTACCATCCTGGTATGGTACACTGTTGATAAGCTGGTCAGAAAGACAATTAATGTACCAGCCTAGATGATACACTGTTTCTAATCTGGACAGACAGACAATTAACGTACCATCCTGGTAAGATACACTGTTGCTAAGCTGCTCAAACAGACAGTTAAGGTACCATCCTGGTAAGATACACTGTTGCTAAGCTGGTCAAACAGACAGTTAAGGTACCATCCTGGTAAGATACACTGTTGCTAAGCTGGTCAAACAGACAGTTAAGGTACCATCCTGGTAAGATACACTGTTGCTTAGCTGGTCAAACAGACAGTTAAGGTACCATCCTGGTAAGATACACTGTTGCTAAGCTGGTCAAACAGACAGTTAAGGTACCATCCTGGTAAGATACACTGTTGCTAAGCTGGTCAAACAGACACTTAATGGACAATCCTGGTGTGGTAAGCTGTTGCTAAGCTAGTGAGACTGACACGTAACATTCCATCCTTGTATGGTACACTGTTGCTAAGGTTGGCAGTGTGGATTTTACGCCACTTGTAGCAATATTCCAGCAATACAACTGTGTGGGTACACCCATGTGAGGTATCAAACCTGTAGATCTGGTGTGACAAGCAAACACTTTGCCCACTTTTGGGAGTAACAACCTGCTTTGTATAAGTAAGTCATAAAATAGGTTCACTTTCTGTGAAGTGTAGAAATCAGTTGGTACAATCTTACATTTACGACGCCACATCTGACTTGATTTACAGAGGATATACACAAAATATTTCCACTCAGATCATTAACACTTTTGTTTATTTCATACATGTATGTGAGAATGAGAAGAATCATATGCTGAAGTCCTCATGTATGGTAAAACAGACACCACAGAGCCCTCACACAGTGTCTGATGACATCACAAAGCACTCACAAAGTGTCTGATGACATCACAATGCACTCACACAGTGTCTGATGACATCACAGAGCACTCGCACAGTGTCTGGTGACATCACAGAGCACTCACACAGTGTCTGATGGCATTACAGAGCACTCACACAGTGTCTGATGACAGCACAGAGCACTCACACAGTGTCTGATGACATTACAGAGCACTCACACGATGTCTGATGACAGCACAGAGCAAACACACAGTGTCCGATGTCATCCCAGTGACGCCAGGCAGTGATTAAGTGCTGATCGGCAGTTATTCTAGTGTCTGTCAGATGGCCTACTCCTTGTCCACAGCTGACTCCTGATGCCTGTAAGACACGCTGTTGGCCTAGGCATCCATCCTCCTCCTGTGAAGCTGTTGCTTGTACAGGTACAGCAGGTCCCCGGAGGATGTGTCGGGTCGGGGGAACATCTGGACCAGCTCACCGATAAGGTTGATGGAAGTCTGCAACACAATAACCAACATCTTTATTCATACATGGCAGTCTCAGTGGCACACAACCACAAATATCCTAACTTACTTAGATGGCCAGATTGACAGCAAACATACCATCTCGGTGTGAACTGTTAACTGCTAATCTGGTGAGACTGACACTTAATGTACCATCTTCGTATGATACACTTTTGTTTATCTGGTCACAGACACTTGACGTACCATCCTGGTATGATACACTGTTAGTTGCTAATCTGGTCAGACAGACACTTGACCTACAATCTTGGTGTAATACACTGTTACTAAGGTGGTCAGACAGACACTCAACATACCATAAGGATACACTGTTTATTGCTAAGGCGACATTTTTCTTTATTTCTTGGTTTACTTATTTCAAACTCATTTCAAAAGTGAGGTAGGCCAGTTTTAAAAAAAAAAAGCTTCAGAGATTTTTTTTACTTGAATTTGGTCCTAAAAAGTTATGTATAAAAAAAATATTCTGGAGTAACAAAATTAAAACAACTCAATTTTTCAAGAACACTTTATCATATCCCTGGCACTCAGCTTGTGCACAAATGGCAATATAATAATATTCATGTTATGGGTGGAAATGCATGAAAGACGCTGCTATTTTGGCAGCATGGGCAACGTTTAACTCTTTTGACACCAGCCAACCAGAGGATTACTGCTGTGACACCAAATTGCCAGAGACTCTTGTGTGATAGATGAAGCCAACATTTATCAAGGGAATTTTCTGCTATTTGAAAGGTCTAATTAATCCTATTGTTTATAAATATGAAAGTTATATGTATTACATTATTTAGATAATTCATTAACAACTTAATAAAGTTTGTTTTAAACAAAAATAATGTAAGCTAAAACATTCATAACGTCCAGATTAAGGACAAATGAAGTGAACATTTAACGATTTTTGGCAAATATAAGGTTTCATGAAATCCATTTACCTATTCCTTTTTTATTTTCATTTGTTAACGTAGATCTAGTCGGAACATTATTTTATAAAGAATTACAAATAATATCTGTTATCATCCATTTCCCAATGACAGAGGCTGTCCGCTCACTAACATGAGGAAATACCTCCATTTTCAAAGCTTCGTACAAATAACACATACGTCGAAGGCTGCCATGCCAGTATACACTAAAAAACTTAAACTAAGCGGCAAAAGAAAGTATAGGTTGGCAATTTGTAATTTTCCTAAAAACAGTGATAACTAGTGGATAACGCGCTACCTTTGATGGCGCTCTTGCGGTGACAAAAAAATGGTGCAACAGGTTTCCCGGCCTATGGCATAAAATGCACGTACATGTTAGCTGTATAAATGCGTTCGTCTGCAGGGTATAACCATACACAATGAAAGCACACAAAAGAAATGCCACGACTGTCACAGGAGCAGAGAGAGAGAACCATCGGTATGGCCGAAATGGGGGCAACACAGGTCCAAATTGCCAGAAGGTTTGGTTGTACACCATTGACAGTAGCCACTTCGTGCTGCTGGAATCCGAGCGTATCGTCCTTTCCGAGGAATGGTACTGACTGCTCAACATGGACGCCTGAGACTGCGATGGTCGAGGCAGGTTCGACACTGGCAAGTGAGAAATTGGCGTCGAGTGCTGTTTACTGAAGAAAGTCGGTTTAACTTGTTTCGAAATGATGGCAGAGAACGAGTTTATCAACGCAGAGGGGAATGTTTGGCTCCGGCGTGTATTCGAGAGGTCCATCCATTCGGCGGGGGAGGTGTCATGGTGTGGGGCGGTATTTGTGGAGATCAGAAGACTGATTTGGTGATTATACAGGGAAACCTGAATGCTGTGCAGTACAGAGACCAAGTGTTGCAGCCAGTTGAGCTTCCATTCTTACAAAACCAACAGCAGGGGACATTGTTTCAACACGACAATGCCAGCCTCCATACTGCAAGACTGACTCGGAACTTTCTAAACCAGCAGAACGTTGACGTTTTACCCTGGCCTGCCCACTCATCCGATATGAATCCTATTGAACATCTATGGGACCATCTTGATAGACAGATTAGAGCACGCCATCAGCCTCCCGTCAACAGACAAGATTTGCAACAGGCCCTGAGAGACGAGTGGCAACTGATTCCAGTCCACGTCATCAGAAGACTGACGTCATCGATGAGGCGGCGTATCACAGCATGCATTGAGGCAACTGTGTCGACAATGAACTTGTAGAGTGTCTGACAATTTTTTGGTGACATTTCAGACAACTTTTTAAAATGAAATTTCTTACCCCACCATTGTTTACCTAGAGCTTACATTACCTGTGATTGCACAATTTCATTCAAACTGTGGTTGATCAATCATTTGTTACCCCTCCCTAGATTATATTATAATTCACAACAAATCCTCTTCTTGTTATTTTTTTATCGATCATGGAACTCGACCTAAACTTTCTTTTGCCGCCCAAATCACCGACATAACCTGCTACAAGGTTCGTGATTGGTCAAATTTAAGCATGTGACCTTAGGCAGCCAATCAAATTACAGCAACGGTACAGTCCTTGTGTTTGATAATTTTCAGACTTTTACGAAACGTCAAAATATTTTGCTTGAAGTGTCTTTCTTTTGCTGTTTGACATGTTCAATGAGGACCCGTTGTCGAGGTGTGTCCGAGAATTTTATTTTCAACAAGATTGCAAGATAGTGAATAATTTTTTAATCTACTGAGAAAAAAGGGTAAAATCAAATGGAATATGTATTTCAGACATTGTGAAATGTCACAGATTTAATAAATGAATGAAATGACAAATAGGATAATAAAATTATAAACTATTTTGACGTGACTTGGACGGTCTACCCTGCGGTGTCTGGTGACTGATGGTGTTAAAAGAGTTAAACTGGTCACCACTGCGCTTTGCGTTGACAAGCTTTGATGGTATTAGAGAAGGATCCCAGTGAGAAATAGAGTGACTTCCCGACGAGGAAATTTATTTTGTTTGAACTTTTTGATGAAAAGATTGCTGGTAATGAAAAAAGGGTAACGTATATCGCTGTACATGCCTTCAAAATCAACCCAAAATCATATACTCCGTGTATAAAGCAACCTGGAATGAAGCACATGACAAGTGCGCACACAAACCTTTTATATGCAATAAAAATATGTTTATCTTGCGTTGTTTTTTCTACGATGATTGGTCGCGTATGTAACTCCTGCACATGTTGGCATTTTGTGTTTACACGGTACGACACCAAATTGGTGCCCGTAAAATAAAATTCATTTATGAAGTCATAACATATAAGAGACAATGGTGAGTAATTTAATCGCCAATTAACTATGTTGCAACTAACTAGGCTTATGTTTGCTTCACATTCAGCGTGTTTATTCCGTCTCCAACAGTTGTTAATACAACTGTAACAACAGCGGGAATTGATTTCAGCTTCACCGGTTATCACATGCTATGTCACATGTGCAATATGCGAATGCTTACCGGTACTTCCGGCTCTCTACTCACGGATGTTGATTGTTTTACCGTGTCAGCTGGCTTGACAAGGTGCACCGAGGCGAGGGTTATTTCAACTTTATTTGCAGAAATGATTAAATTTTACTCAAGGAAAACAGATACAAATCATGTTTATGTATGGAAATAATTATTGGAACAGTTATTTAGGCCGAAATGCGAAGTTTTATTGTCAAATGCTGGGCTGGCTATCGGACGCAGGTTGACATTGCCAGTCGAAGCTGAAAGTGAAACAACTGGAAAAAAATGTGAGATCTTCGACTCCATGTATAAGACGACCCCCCTTCTTAACCCCCTCATTTTAGGTATGAAAAACTCGCCTTATACACAGCGATATATGGTAATTTTCACTTTTACTTTTTTTTTTAACATTTGGACTTTGAAAGAGCGGCGCATCTGTAAAGCAAGAAAGAAAAAAAGAGTCCCCTAAGGTGGTCAGACAGGCAGTTAATGTACCATCCTGGTAAGATACACTGTTGCTAAGGTGGTCAGACAGACAGTTAATGTACCATCCTGGTAAGATATACTGTTGCTAAGGTGGTCAGACAGGCAGTTAATGTACCATCCTGGTAAGATACACTGTTGCTAAGGTGGTCAGACAGGCAGTTAACGTACCATCCTGGTAAGATACACTGTTGCTAAGGTGGTCAGACAGGCAGTTAATGTACCATCCTGGTAAGATACACTGTTGCTAAGGTGGTCAGACAGACAGTTAACGTACCATCCTGGTAAGATACACTGTTGCTAAGGTGGTCAGACAGACAGTTAATGTACCATCCTGGTAAGATACACTGTTGCTAAGGTGGTCAGACAGACAGTTAATGTACCATCCTGGTGAGATACACTGTTGCTATGGTGGTCAGACAGACAGTTAACGTACCATCCTGGTGAGATACACTGTTGCTAAGGTGGTCAGACAGACAGTTAACGTACCATCCTGGTAAGATACACTGTTTCTAAGGTGGTCAGACAGACAGTTAACATACCATCCTGGTAAGATACAATGTTGCTAAGGTGGTCAGACAGACAGTAAACGTACCATCCTGGTAAGATGAGAATCTACCCTGGCATCCACATCTCTGGCCTGAAGTCGATGGTGGTGATAGTTGAGGAAATGTTGTCTCGCTTCTGCTTCTTCCAGCTTCCGTTGTTGTTTCCTGTGACAAGATCAGCCCAGAGATAAAACACACAATACCTACAGAAACAAATCTTGGTTCATGTGACTGTTATACCACCACCAGAACAAATACGTGCAGTTAGAAAGAGGTTACACAAAGGTCTTTAATTAGCTGAAATACTTGCCCGCCCTGACCAAAACCTGCCTGCCCACTATAATCATATGTTTCTCATGGATAAGCTAACGGGGTTTCTTTTTGGTTACATTTTATCATTCATCTTTACATGTGAATTAATGCTTATCATCGGGAAATATTTTGAATATTTTCACATATGAAATATAACCCGACTGTCGGGCAGGGGGATTTGAAAATCTGGCAGCCCAAGATGAAATCAACCTGTCTTGGACGGTCGGGCAGGCAGGTATTTCGAACACTGGAAAAGCTCACATCAAATTGGGCAAACCAACCTGATCCTCGTATGTTCTACATCCCACTCTGTACACTACCTTATGCTGAGGTTAAAGGAGGTCAAATTGTGTCGTTCATACACTTATTGACGACAATTTCACGGTCATGTGACCGACCTCTCGTCCAATGGAAAAGCTGTATGCCGTGTAAATTTCAAATTAAAAAATTATTACACATTACACAAAACTGTTTTTGACAAAGAGTCAATGGTGCAGACCACAATACTGAGACTGTAACAGAGCTGGATGAGGTGTGGTACCTGCACGGCTTGCACTTGTGGACGTCATGCACTTCCTGCGAGGACAACTGAAACCCAACACATGCACTGTAATAATAATAATAATAATAATAATAATAATAATAATAATAATAATAAAGCTGACCCCCTCCTTTCGTATTCTTTATGTGTTGTTGTTTGGACGAAACAAGAAATTCAGGGTATTGACACCCTCACAGAAGAATCATGGTAGACAATAGATCCCACCACCCTCGCTCTTCCCTCAATTGCTTATATTTACCAATTAGGATGGGAGGGCGTGGTTTGATTAATGTGGAGGCTCTTCATGATAGAATTGTTTTGTGCACACTTATTGGTCTGATGATCCTCTTGTGAAGCATGTCAAGACTCATGATGAAAATAATGCAGATCATTCCTGAAACGAGCAAAGGATATGGGGCATAATCTCAATGTCAGTGTTGATTATTTTGACGGTTCTGCTGGATAGTACAGAAATGAGTGTCAACCAAGCGAAGTGACATATCAAATCAGCCCAGACTCAGTTTTTCAAGGAGAGGCTTTCTGAACGACCACTGCATCGAGTTTATGTGCAGTGTGTTGAGAAGATCAGCAATCCGGCAGCTCGGATGAAGTCGTCTGGCCTGAAAAGTGAAACAGAAGGCTTCCTGTTTGCTGCTCAGGACCAGTCACAAAACACTCAAAACCGTCATTGTGTGATTTTGCATCAAAATGTAAATATGAAATGTAGATTATGCAATGAATTTTATGAGACTGTCCAACACATTGAAGTGGATGCCCAGCTTTGGCACAAGCACAGTGTCTTAAGCGACATGATGGTGTAGCTCGATCATTTTATTACCGTCTTCGCCATGCTTGTGGTTTTGACACAGAGGTCCATGCATGGTAAGACCCAGAAAATGTAGAGGGTATCAAGGAACATGATAAATTCAAAATTCTTTGGAATAGGCCAGTATAAAGCCTCAGACGTATCCAGGACAACAAACCTGATCTTGTCCTTTTTGATAAATCCAATGAAATCATTTATGTTACTGAATTTTCTGTCCCCTTTGACACTAATGTGATGGACAAGATTCAGGAAAAACATGGTAAATATATGCGCACCTCGCTTTCTAAATGTCACGCTTGCATCCCAAGTACAAAGTTGTCCGAAGCCCCATTGTTCTCGGTGCCTTAGGTTTGCTACCCCCCAAATCTGTTGTCTGACATTGGGAAAGTACCCGGGTTTGCTACCAGGAATACAGCTCTTCTGCCAATCTGGGTAATGCAGAAGGCAGCAGTGTTGGTTAGTCTTCACATTCTCCGAAAGGTTCTGGGTGGGTTTGACTAGGCAGCGCTTCCTCGGAGAAGTCCCATTCGCTGTCTGGGTTATGTGTAGAGGAGGCAAGGGCCCTGAGCTGATGATGAGCCTAACCAGCCTGACTGTGCCGGGATAACCCAGACCCTCTTTGCTGAATTTTTCTATTTTCATTTGTACATAATGATAATAATAAATGCATTTGTATAGCGCAGCATTCACTGTGCATAAGTGCTCTGTGAGCTGCATTAAGTGAAGGTCACTTTTATTGAACTTTTAGTGTGACTTCAACAATACCACAGCAACACTGCCCCACTCCCCACAGTACAAAGCAGACCTAAAACGCTTCATCTGTTTTAACATGAGACTGCCCCACTCCCCACAGTACAAAGCAGACCTAACATGCTTCATCTGTTTTAACATGAGACTGCCCCACTCCCCACAGTAAAAACCAGACCTAACACGCTTCATCTGTTTTAACATGAGACTGCCCCACTCCCCACAGTAAAAACCAGACCTAACACGCTTCATCTGTTTTAACATGAGACTGCCCCACTCCCCACAGTACAAACCAGACCTAACACGCTTCATCTGTTTTAACATGAGACTGCCCCACTCCCCACAGTACAAAGCAGACCTAAAACGCTTCATCTGTTTTAACATGAGACTGCCCCACTCCCCACAGTACAAACCAGACCTAACACGCTTCATCTGTTTTAACATGAGACTGCCCCACTCCCCACAGTACAAAGCAGACCTAACACCCTTCATCTGTTTTAACATGAGACTGCCCCACTCCCCACAGTACAAAGCAGACCTAACACGCTTCATCTGTTTTAACATGAGACTGCCCCACTCCCCACAGTAAAAACCAGACCTAACACGCTTCATCTGTTTTAACATGAGACTGCCCCACTCCCTACAGTACAAACCAGACCTAACATGCTTCATCTGTTTTAACATGAGACTACCCCACTCCCCACAGTACAAAGCAGACCTAACATGCTTCATCTGTTTTAACATGAGACTGCCCCACACCCCACAGTACAAACCAGACCTAACACGCTTCATCTGTTTTAACATGAGACTGCCCCACACCCCACAGTAAAAACCAGACCTAACACGCTTCATCTGTTTTAACATGAGACTGCCCCACTCCCCACAGTACAAACCAGACCTAACACGCTTCATCTGTTTTAACATGAGACTGCCCCACTCCCCACAGTACAAAGCAGACCAAACATGCTTCATCTGTTTTAACATGAGACTGCCCCACTCCCCACAGTACAAACCAGACCTAACATGCTTCATCTGTTTTAACATGAGACTGCCCCACTCCCCACAGTACAAAGCAGACCTAACACGCTTCATCTGTTTTAACATGAGACTGCCCCACTCCCCACAGTACAAAGCAGACCAAACATGCTTCATCTGTTTTAACATGAGACTACCCCACTCCCCACAGTACAAACCAGACCTAACATGCTTCATCTGTTTTAACATGAGACTGCCCCACTCCCCACAGTACAAAGCAGACCTAACACGCTTCATCTGTTTTAACATGAGACTGCCCCACTCCCCACAGTACAAAGCAGACCTAACACGCTTCATCTGTTTTAACATGAGACTGCCCCACTCCCCACAGTACAAAGCAGACCAAATATGCTTCATCTGTTTTAACATGAGACTGCCCCACTCCCCACAGTACAAAGCAGACCTAACATGCTTCATCTGTTTTAACATGAGACTGCCCCACTCCCCACAGTACAAAGCAGACCTAACACGCTTCATCTGTTTTAACATGAGACTGCCCCACTCCCCACAGTACAAACCAGACCTAACACGCTTCATCTGTTTTAACATGAGACTACCCCACTCCCCACAGTACAAACCAGACCTAACACGCTTCATCTGTTTTAACATGAGACTGCCCCACTCCCCACAGTACAAAGCAGACCTAACACGCTTCATCTGTTTTAACATGAGACTGCCCCACTCCCCACAGTAAAAACCAGACCTAACACGCTTCATCTGTTTTAACATGAGACTGCCCCACTCCCCACAGTACAAACCAGACCTAACATGCTTCATCTGTTTTAACATGAGACTGCCCCACTCCCCACAGTACAAACCAGACCTAACACGCTTCATCTGTTTTAACATGAGACTGCCCCACTCCCCACAGTACAAAGCAGACCTAACACGCTTCATCTGTTTTAACATGAGACTGCCCCACTCCCCACAGTACAAACCAGACCTAACAAGCTTCATCTGTTTTAACATGAGACTGCCCCACTCCCCACAGTAAAAACCAGACCTAACACGCTTCATCTGTTTTAACATGAGACTGCCCCACTCCCCACAGTAAAAACCAGACCAAATATGCTTCATCTGTTTTAACATGAGACTGCCCCACATGATAATGTGGGGAGATCGGTTAGCCTAGTGGTTTAAGCATTTGCTCATCACACAGAAGACCTGGGTTCGATTCCTGACATGGGTATAATGTGTGAAGCCCATTTCTGGTTATATTGCTCGAATATTGCTAAAAGCAGCATAAAACCATACACACTCACTCAATCACATGTTAATGTTATTATAAAAGTCCTATATATCTTTAAGAAGAGATAGGGTGGATGTATGACATGTCATGAGTATCTCTTTGATAAACTTGTAAAGTTTCATTCATGTAACTTGAGTAGTTTCTAAACAATCTTTTTTCCATTGGAGATACAAAACACGAAACAAACATGGAGATCAAGGGCCGAACCTGTGTGTGCACAAAATCTAAACACATTGAGCAAGGGATGTAACTCTGGAAAAACATAATTTACGGCACCAATTTTTGTACTCAGTCTTGACAAGTATCTCTTAGATAAACATCATTGCTTTCATTCATGTAACTTCTCTAGTTTTTGAGAAAACTTTTCCCCCATGTCACACAGTATGCATTATGTTGAAAAGCACAGAGCAAGGGCCATCACTCTGTAAAAATACTTTGTGGTAGGAGTAAATATAAACAGTATATATGCGCCAGCATCAATGATAGGAATAGGATGCTCTGGGGTATTCAAGACAGACACACACAAGCGATCTGTCAAGTCTCACCTTCTTCATCTTGTGGATGAGGTTATCAAGCTTCAGTCTGTCCATCAGTGCAGGGGCCAGCCCATATGCTTCCAGCGGCTGACTGCTGAGTGTCTCCGACTGGTGTGCTCCAGCATCTCGTATGTCAGCCTCACCTGGCAAACACAGGGCAGGGCAGTTCAAAATACACTGTTTTGTTTGTTTGTTGTTTAATGCTGGACTCAGCAATATATAGAGCTATATGACGGCAGTCTGTAAAAGATAGAGTCTGGACCAGAAAATCCAGTGATTGACAATATGAGCTTCGATCCATCCATATTGGGATACGATGACATGCATCAACCAAGTCACTGAGCCTGACCATCAGATCACGTTAGTCACCTCATACTACAAACACAATTGACTTTTATGGCAAGCATGGGTTGCTGAAGACCTATTCTACCCTGGATCTTCATGGGACTGAAAGACACTAAGTGTAATTTGACTCAATGTTGAAGGGGATTCCAAGAGGGTACCCACCCATCTTGGCAGACCTCCAACATGGCCGACATGACAGATACCCACCCATCTTGGGTGACTTCCAACATGACCGACATTGCAGATACCCACCCATCTTGGGTGACCTCCAACATGACAGATACCCACCCATCTTGGGTGACCTCCAACATGGCTGACATGACAGATACCCACCCATCTTGGGTGACCTCCAACATGGCTGACATGACAGATACCCACCCATCTTGAGTGACCTCCAACATGACAGATACCTACCCATCTTGCGTGACATCCAATATGACAGGTACCCACCCATCTTGGGTGACCTCCAACATGACAGATACCTACCCATCTTGCGTGACATCCAATATGACAGGTACCCACCCATCTTGGGTGACCTCCAACATGGCCGACATGACAGATACCCACCCATCTTGGGTGACCTCCAACATGGCCGACATGACAGATACCTACCCATCTTGGGTGACCTCCAACATGACAGATACCTACCCATCTTGCGTGACCTCCAAAATGACCGACATGACAGATACCTACCCGTCTTGGGTGACCTCCAACATGGCCGACATGACAGATACCTACCCATCTTGGGTGACCTCCAACATGACCGACATGACAGATACCTGCCCGTCTGGCGTCACTTCCAACATGGCTGATATGACAGATACCTACCCATCTTGGGTGACCTCCAACATGACCGACATGACAGATACCTACCCATCTTGGGTGACTTCCAACATGGCTGACATGACAGATACCCACCCATCTTGGGTGACCTCCAACATGGCCGACATGACAGATACCTACCCATCTTGGGTGACCTCCAACATGGCCGACATGACAGATACCTACCCATCTTGGGTGACCTCCAACATGACAGATACCTACCAATCTTGCGTGACATCCAATATGACAGGTACCCACCCATCTTGGGTGACCTCCAATATGGCCGACATGACAGATACCTACCCATCTTGGGTGACCTCCAACATGGCAGACATGACAGATACCTACCCGTCTTGCGTCACTTCCAACATGGCTGACATGACAGATACCTACCCATCTTGGGTGACCTCCAACATGGCCGACATGACAGATACCTACCCATCTTGGGTGACCTCCAACATGGCTGACATGACAGATACCTACCCATCTTGGGTGACTTCCAACATGGCCGACATGACAGATACCTACCCATCTTGGGTGACCTCCAACATGGCAGACATGACAGATACCTACCCGTCTTGCGTCACTTCCAACATGGCTGACATGACAGATACCTACCCATCTTGGGTGACCTCCAACATGGCCGACATGACAGATGCCTACCCATCTTGGGTGACCTCCAACATGGCCGACATGACAGATACCTACCCGTCTTGCGTCACCTCCAACATGGCAGACATGACAGATACCTACCCATCTTGGGTGACCTCCAACATGGCCGACATGACAGATACCTACCCATCTTGGGTGACCTCAGCCGATTGATTGTCCGCTGGCAGAACTTCTTCTCATCACGACTTTTTGACGCTTTTTTGACTAAAATCAGAAAACAACAATGTTCTACAAGCCCTTTTCTAAGTATGCTTCATAACAATTCGCTTATCTTGCAATGCTGACAACTTCACCAACTTCTCAGTATCTACCATTTTCATACACAAAGCCAGGACCTTCTATCAGTGATTCCTGTAACACTGACATCTACTATCTGCTTCTCATGGAAAGTGTGGCCCTTTGACAGAAGCAGACAAATTAGTCAAACTTCTCTGTGTTAGATAAGGATAATGAGAGGGGGATCTCGTGGACTATAACAAAGTGTAGGACAAATCAGTGACTGAAAGCAACCATCCATGCTATTAGTGTGAAGAGAATTTCAAATGCCCAAAATAGCACAGTAAACTTCGCTAAACTCCTGAGAATTCGAGAAGTTTGGAACTTTTAAATTGTTAATTCCCTGATTATATTTCACATATAAAAACATTTTCATGTAATAATTCCACCTCATACCAAATCCTCTTTCAGAAAAATTACGTCATGGAATAAGTCACCAAATACGTAACATGGAGCTGACATCTTTTAAAGCTGGCAGCAGAAACCTTTCACCCTAGTGCATTACCTCCCTTCCAGTAGTCAGTAAACGTAAGCACGCCTCTGGGCTGATCTAAGAGAGTATTGACCATAGGAAATAATGTATTGATGCATTTGTCTTTGATCATGAGATGAAAATAGCATCTGTATTCACAATGCTTGTTTTTTCAAAGGCTGACCAAAGTCCATAGTGGAAAATGCGCAATACAGCAAATTCTGAATTAACAGCACTTTATATAATTTCCTTCTCAACTAGAGCTGTTTGTATTTATACCATTATTCTGTAATACGCACATCTCAAGTTGTACTGTACTATATTCTACTGTATGTTAAGTGCATCAATGTCAGTAATTTATCCTTCGCACCACGGCCAGTCCTGTGTGTGCCTCACCACACAAGTCATTCTCTCTGCTAAGAAAGGTATTGTTTTCATTGTACCCTCCAATCACATGATGATGTTTTGAATGTTTTAGGTTCGTGGTTTACTAGATTGAACCTTTTAAAGTCCATGGACATCAAGTGTGTCATATTTAACACCCCACATCACTGATGCACATTCAGCAAGTCACACGCTGTGGCTACCTGATCCTCAGATAAGTCAGCTCTTACAATAAGCAGTGGGTGATTACATTACAGGTCATATCAGAACGACCTCTCGTCTGATAAAGTGCCACGCTTACCATATTCAGAAAGTGTGCGTGTGCGTGTGCGTGTGCGTGTGCGTGTGCGTGGGTGTGTTTCAATTATGCATGCTATATTTATATCACAAGAAATGTACATCTATGTAACGTATTTTCACTACAATTGACTAAACCTACTGTGTAACCTCTGAACCTGATGTACAACTCTTCGAAAGGAATAAAAAATGTCAACAACAAAAAAAAAATATTCAGAAAGTGAAAGTCTGTATAGGTTTTCAAATCATGCAACTGTGAAAGGTTAACACGAGGCATTCCAAACAACAGTTACGGGCATATGACTGGTTCCGTCAAAATCATCGTCTACCTCTCGCATCAATGGGATAAACATTTGAAACCAAAGAGACTTCCTATAGCCCATGGGAAGTACTTCCATACAATCTTGGCTATCACTTAGACATTCAAGAATTTTCAGTTTTCAAATTCAGAGTCAAGAACTTTCAAATCTTAATCTGGAATAGAAGTCACCAGTTTGAAATTAGAGTCATAAAGCTTGAGAAAGCTTGAGAAAGCTTTATGAAAGGCTTTTGGTTGGTCAAAGTTCGTGAAAGGTCGCTCCGACTAGTGCTGGGACGGGTACCTCGGGTACTGAGGTCGGGTGGGTACTGAGCAGGACCCGAGTACCCAAAGGACTGCACAGTTACACTACGAGTCACTAATTTCCACATTTCTTTCTGACTATACACCAATTCCTTCTGACCTTTACATGTTTGAATAAAAATAAACTTCAGTCAACTTCAGTGTATGCACGACCAGATCGACTTATACGTGTATCTAAATACATATTGCCAGGACTTCGGTCTAACTATTCCCAATTGGACATATTGTTTCTGTCTCTTGAGACCTACAGTGGGTACCTGGGTAGGGTCTGGTAATAGGGGATGCCAGGTAGTAAATCTGGACTCGCCCCAGCCCTAGTTCTGACTTGACCTGTGATGGCATGTCCTCATATCATTGTGTAGCAGTTGCCAGCACTAAGATCTCAGTTAATGAGGTTGACAAGGTTCCTTGGAGTTTTATTCAAAGAACTAGACTTTAAGAATCACCATAGATGGTCTCTTCCCAACTGACCAATGACCATGACTTGCAACTAGGAGATGACGAGTGCAATAGCATGGTCTGGACATGACAGATATCAATTTTGCTGATATCAACTTTTGTAAAATGTGCACTTACCCTGCTGAGGCCTTGTACTGCGATTAGAAACTGTCTTTGACGCCTTCAGACGTCCCAGCAAGTTGTTGAGGAAGTTTTCCCTTGCTTCAAAAGCCTCGGCCTTAGCTAAATCTTCAGCCTGAAGAACAGAACTAAACCGTGTAAGTCTAGACCCCATCAAACATGAAGTACTACCGTGTGGGCAATCTTGTTGCCACAGACAATACCAAGGGACAAAATTGGTCCTGAAGAACTACCGTGTAGACAATCACTAAATGAGAGAGTGAGTGAGTGGGAGGATGGGTGTGTGTGAATGAGTGGATGGATGAGTGGATGGATGAGTGAGTGAGTGTGAGTGAGTGAGTGAGCGAGTGAGTGAGTGAGTGAGTAGGAGGATGGGTGTGTGTGAATGAGTGGATTGATGAGTGAGTGAGTGAGTGAGTGGGAGGATGGGTGTGTGAATGAGTGGATGGGTGAGTGGATGGGTGAGTGGATGAGTGAGTGAGTGAGTGAGTGAGTGAGTGAGTGAGTGAGTGAGTGAGTGAGTGAGTGAGTGAGTGGGTGTGTGTGAATTAGTGGATTGATGAGTGAGTGAGTGAGTGGGAGGATGGGTGTGTGAATGAGTGGATGGATGAGTGAGTGAGTGAGTGAGTGAGTGAGTGAGTGAGTGAGTGAGTGAGTGAGTGAGTGAGTGAGTGAGTGAGTGAGTGAGTGAGTGAGTGAGTGAGAAAACAGGTGACATACAGACAGCTCCCGGATCTCCTCAGTAGCCGGCCCAAAGATGTGGCTCTCTGTGAAGTCAAGCGTGTGTCCATCACGACTTGTTGCTGTCAGACTCGGACTCTCAAAGGAGCTGCAACATGCACACATTTATACACTACAACATCAGTGGATCATCATGCAGTAGTTCAGCATCTTCATCAACTCATGATCATAGGGCATTTGGAACACAAGTGATGAGGAATTAATACTACCGACAAAAATTGGGGAACTAATGAAATGATAGTGAAAATGTAGTGACGATAAATGTCTGTAAAATTAATTTTGTGCATGTAAATCAATATCTTTATCAAAATCTTGATTCTTCTGTATGGTGCCATTGATGCACCACCCTTCCATGGTGTTGCCTGGCCCACCCCAATCTTTGGTAAGCTGCCATCTTGCTTTCAGGTGGGCTACATTGTGGCAGTTTTTAACGGTAGATGTTGAAATTTGACTTCCTGTTTATTGTACGGAATTCTCTATAGATAACAGGAACAGATTTGAATGGATTGCACAGTGCAATGAAAGTAATGAGATTATCTTGTCTAGGTGTTGTTTTTGTGGGCCTGCCACACCCATGTCTCATTGCAACCCCATCTGTTTGAAGGTACTAGTGTCACAATTGAGGAATAACACTTTATGATTTGCCACATATTCAACTTGGGATATTGCCCCCCTTTATCGTACCCCCGATTGGCCATGTTGTCTGTTCATTGAGATACTGTCTCATAGGCATATTTAAGCATGTGCTTAGCTCATCTGCATTAGTGATAGTAGGGCGCGCACACTTTGGCACACAGTGTGTATCACGTGCTGTTCATGCATGCTGTATGTGAAATTTAATTGTGATTAAATGTTGTCTTCCAGTGGTAGAAACGAACATTCTTATTCCACTAGTCCTTATAACAATAACATATAGCAAAGCCCTTAAAATTGGCAAATTTATACTAGTCCTTTCGATACCTTAACAATTGGGCAGTTTGGCAAGGATTACGGGACTAGTGCCAATTTCTAACTCTGGTTTTCAGATGCAGTGCCACAGTATTGTAAATGTACACCTAAACAATAGTTCCATTCAGATCATTAGTCCCCTTACTTTCTTTCAGTATATAGATATACATCGGCTTCTCAGTATCATAATTGAAAACAATTTTACAAACAGAGACTGCTTTGAGTAGATTTCCCTATGTCCAATAACTACTGGGTATCAGTTTAACAATCATCTACCCAAGGCAAGAGAGTTAACTGACTTTAAAAGTCCAGTTTCCACCCTTGCCGAACTAGGCTGGAATTACTGGGCTCGATTGTAGCGCCACCAGTGGCTATTACCAATTGAGTTCCTCCTAAACCTCTCATAAGGACCATTCAGATTCCACCTCTCGTATCACTTGCGTTTGCTTCACACAAAATGGTTGCGCCCGGTCAGGACGATCTGATCGATAATCAATATCTATATTGTGATAAAAGGGGTCTTACATCGCGAAATGCATCAAATCACGTGATCACCTTGATTAAACACATGAGAAGATTTGGAAAATATCTGCTGACAACTAGTTGGTGGTGCACATGCTTTGCAAATCCTGCAATCGACCGAAATCTGCACGACAGTTTACGAACCAGATTTCAATTTCGGTGCGCGATTTTGATTGGACTATGCATAGACTCGTCCAGCCAAAATGTAACTCAATAATACCAGCCTAGTTCGGCAAGGGTGGAAACTGGATCTTTATAGTCAGTTAACTCTCTTGCCTCGGGAAGATGTTTAACAATGTACACAGCAGGCTTTGTACATACTCATCCAGGTACTTCCTCTCCTGGTTACTAGTGTCCTCTGAGGCGACAGTCTCCAGATAGCTGCGGGAGTCCTGCCCTTCTTGTACTGAGGACCTCACAGTGTCTGTAGGAAACGCGCTGTCCTCAAACGTATCCGAGTAAGAGAAAGCATCCTCAACATCTGTTCCTCCCTCTACATCAGTGAAGTCTTCCTGGTAGGTTAGAGTATCCGACACATCACTTGTATAGGCATGTGTGTAGGATGTTCTGTCATAGCTAACACCTCCACTAGAATGCTCATTGGTAGTCTGGTTCTCACGACTAGTGAACGTAGGTGTATGACTGTGTGATGTCTGATGGCCCGAGCTCGTGCTGGAGTACTGACTTGTCTTACTGGTATTACACTTCTTCCTATTAGTGAGTGTCTGTGTGTGTGTGCTGTCATCACTGAGACTTCCACTGGAGTACTGGCTTGTTCTGCTGATATTTTTGTCCTCATCAAATGGGATTGTATAAACTATCTCTGGCGAAGACGTCTCGGAGGGAACCGATGTCCCTTCAAATGTGTCAGAATAGGAGTACTTGTTTGACACACTGGAAGCCATCTTGGGAGATTTCAAGCTCAATATGTTGTTGAAAGTCTGATTAGTTTCTTACACTTGTAGCCATGGTAACATGTCAACAATCATATTTGTTAACATTTCAGTATTTTCTTCATGCAAACACTTCTGAAACAAGAGAGAGAAAAAACATTCAGTGGAAACTCCTTGATAATAGAAATGGCAAAAACATTGGCAAAATAAGACAAAAAGTGAGCAGGCCCACTAATACCCCAACTTCTACCCAAACATATTTCAAGTTCAAAACATCAAAAATGCAATATTTTCTCAGAAAATCCACTCATCAAAATCAAACTATGCACTGCACCTGTCTCATTGGTAGAGAAACTGTACCCCTAATTGGAAAAGAATTCATCAAGCAAGTTTTTTTTGCGCAAATGTTGTAGTAAAAATATTCTAAGTTCACAACATGAAATAAATCATATTTTTCAGAAAATACACATATCAAAAATTTTTTTTGCACTGCACCTCTTCTATTAGTATGGAAACTTTTCCATGAAATTGAAAAAAGTCTATGAAGTAGTTTTCAAGTAATAGATCGCGAAATTGTGTAACTAAAAAAGTTCTAAGTGAAAAACTGAAAAAAACTGTAGTTCTTTAGAAAATCCAAATGATAAAATCAACCTTTGCACTGCACCTCCGCAATAGGTATAGAAAGTGTTCACCAAGTTTGAAAAGAATCTATGACGTAGTTTTCAAGTTATAGGTTGCACAAAAAGTTGTCCTCAGAAGGACAGACGGAATGACGGATGGTATACCTTGGTATAACTATATAACCCCGCCCTTTTAGGTCAGGGAAATAATAATCATAAGGAAACAGTCAGACATTGAAACTGGCACAAGTCCTGTACCAGTCTGTGCCAAAAACTTTTAAGCCTGCATGACTCTTTATATCATTTTCAGTGGAGTAAGTATTATTATATGGACTAGTACTAGCTGAGTTTACATTAGCAAAAAGAATTGTATTAGATGCTGGCTTCGGATCAGTGGCATAAGTCACAGACTGCTATACTAGATTATAGGCGGAACCCAAATCAATAATTAAGGTTTCCATTTGACATTTAGAGACGACTTAATTTGGGAAGGTTTTCCACTTTGTACAACTTGTACCCTAGCTGATACAACCTGCCTGTGCCATGTAAGGAACTGAAACACCGCCACCTTGATGGCTTTTTATAGTCAGGGTGGGGTTTAAAGAGATCTATTGAAAAAAACATTTAATCATGTTAGGTGAGGTGAGGTGAAATTGGGTTTAACGTCGCGTCCAAGATTATTGCACTTATATAGCGACGTGCATGCACGTGTGTGTGTGTGTGTGGCTGCTTGTACTAGTCCGGACTGATGCCGATTTATAGTGCTAGCTCACTGAGATACCATGCCGCAGTTTAACATGAATACCCCACTCAGACACAGTATACTGACTCTGAGCCGACCAGTCCTTGTTTTAGCCCCTTAATGTCGAGGGCCAGACAGGGTAACAACAAGTACCATTTCTTAACGTCTTTTGGTATGACGCGGCCGGGGATGGAACCCCGGACCTTCCACTCTCCGGGCGGACGCTCTACCACAAGACCACGGAGGCGGCTTAATCATGTTAAATAGTCATGCAAAGTACATATTCACACCAATGAATATGGCATCAACCCTCTGATTCCCGCCTCTTGATCCAACACCGAGGACGATTGCAGTCATATTCTGTGTCTAAATCTAGGATATGTTATTGTGTGACAAAAAACTGTTTTAGGTTAGCTAAGAGTGAATGTGGAGTACCTTTTTAGAGAAATATTAATGTGACAGGTATATTTAGTGTGATAGTGACAGTTTTAGTTCCTTTATATGTTGTTAAATAAATTGTCTGTGTTTATTTCGTTCTCTGTTTGTCTCTGTACATAGGAGTCCATGTTATAATGATGGGTGTATTTGTACAAGATGAGTGAGTGAGTGAGTTGGGTTTAACGCCGCTTTTAACGGTATTCCAGTTATATCGCGGCGTGTCAGCTTAATGTGGGAGGAAAGCCCGAAGTGATGCAGGTCTGAGACGTTTACCACTTCGGTGAAACCCACGAGCACCGGTATGGTGCTGACAAACCTAGAAACATAATTGGGGCGAACTGGGATTTCGAACCCACAATCATAGGTTTCTAGCGTGCCCAAGGGACGCAACTCTGCACAGCGAACCTTAGACGACTGGGCCACCCTTTTACAAGATGAGCAGCGGCACTGTGCATGTACTAAGATAAATGTCAGCCACTAATATCCCTCCATTGATCAATGTGGTATATATTATTACATCTGTTTAAACCAACTGAATCAACCATCATAGACAATACAATTAACACAATTAATACATAACATTTATCTGTTAAGAAAACAAATTTAGCTTTAGCCCTATGCTTGTTGTTTGGCATAAAGACAACACAGTCAACAATGTTTGACAATGATGTCAATCTACACCAGGTACATTTTGCACAAGGATAACTGTCTCGCGATAATGTTTTTATTGATAAACATTCATTTTATTTAGAAATCTCAGGACAGAGTTTAACATCACATTGTGTTCCCTAGTCTTTCGTGGTCACATCAGTTTGATCGTCTTCACTTGATACATCTTTCTCCATCTTATCGCTGCTGTCAAGACTATTTTGATGAACCACTATGATGTCATCAAGTTGCGAGAGCATGTTTGAATCTCCAGAAAGGAAGTCATGATAGAACAATGTTTAATCATGGAATTTACCATGCTTCATTCTTAATTGTTCTTTGCAGTTTATTGTGTAGCTATCTTTTACATAAATATACTACTACAACTGCAACAGTGAGATGTATGACAATACAACTTTACACATCAAAGTGACTTTGTCGCAAGCTCTTACCAGGGCTTCCATGACAGCATGAGGAGGATCAATATGTTTATTATGTTAATGATATTTTCTCAGTGAAGGTTACGTTTAACAAAATGCGTAAAAATGAAAGAGATGAAAAACACATCAATAGACTTTGTAAGTTTTGAAGAACTCGGCTGGCCACAAGGATCTCAGGGTGGGAGAGTGATTGGCTTCATACAGCCATGGCATATATATATATTATAATCTAGGCTTTGATAAACACTGGCTTCTAATCTAACCAAGCTGTCAATCTATATTTTGTAACTCATCCATAAAAAACAAAACACACAAGCTTTCTCTTCAATTTGCCCCTAACAAAACACTTGACTGAAGCCAGTTTACTTTGCAGTGCTTGCGTTGTCGGCCTTACTGTGCGGAGCTCAATCTCATTTAAATCAGATCTATGTTCTCACTGCCACTAAACAAAGATCTGAGGACACCCCATTACAGGTCACGCCAGAATGACCTTTCGCGAACTTTGACCAACCACTGAAACGACTAACAAGCAGTCGACATCAGCCAATTAGAAAGAAGCTTTCTTGAGCGTTACGGTACTCGTTTCAACCTGGCGACTTCCATTTTGACTACGCTTGAAATATATGTTGACACAGTCCTCGATTCAAATTATGAAAACTGAACAAATGAACATTCCGGAATGTCTAATATATGGTTGCGATTGTACAGCAGTGCTTCCCAAGTACTGTGCAATGCGTCCTCCGTTCAAATGTTTATCCCACGGGAGCGAGAGATAGACGATAATTTTGACGGTATCAGTAACTATTGTTCGGAATACCCCGTTTTAAAGTTTTCGAGATTGCATGATTAGAAAACACATTCCGATTGTCACTTTCATGATCTGGTAAGCAACGCTTTGATTGGTCGGATGAAAGGTCGTTCTGACATGACCTGTAATGGGATGTCCTCAGATCTTTGTTTAGCGACAGTCCTTGCCAAGTTGCCCAATAGTTAAGGTATCACAAGGACTAGTAGAAATTTGACATTTTTTAGGGTTTTGCTATGTGGTATCATTATAAGGACTAGTATACTAAAACAGTTAGTTTCTACCGCTGTGTTTTAGATTTGTTTATTTTCTCAGGACATGCAGTCAATAGAAGTAATCTAACAAGACAGTTTTACGCCCGGGTCGGGGAGTGCATTGTTGACAGTCTTCATTGTGCTGGCTGCACAAAGTGAATCTCGAAATCGGACATAGTCAAAGCATACGAGAGAGTGGATCCGAGCCTGTTATTGTTACGCTACAGAGTTGTGATAAGTGAATCGCAGATCTATCCGCAGTTTCGACATACCAATAACTTCAGCAGAACTAGTTCATCCGGCATATGATTAACCCGCCTATACCATGACTTGCTTACTTCCATATAGTGGACCGTACAAGTTTTGTTGTACCAACTTGCCCGCTTACAACATAATCAATATAAAACGGCAGACTTGAAATAACAAGAAATGTTTGATTTAATGTCAAATAAGGTTAGGAAATAACCGGAATTATTATCAAGTGTTGTACTCAAAGTAAAGAAGACACTGTGAAAACATACATAGGATTTCACTGTTGTAAGTGGCATCAAGGAAAGACAACTCTTCCAAACTTATTTTAGTCTGCTTTCCCAGCAGTCATATGGGGAAGGCTCATGCCACTGATCGGCACATGTGCCAGTAAAAAGTGCCAGTGAGCTGACCCACATCTCTGTGTTATTGTTTATATCCCCTTTCAGCACCAGCTGTGTTGTGGCGAGACTGTCCTTTATCTGATAGAACCGGGGGTCAGGAGACATAGACTTACACAGGCTTTTCCCAAAGCATTGATAACATTTGTGTGTCTTATTATAGTACTTATTCACATATATTATTCTTATTCACATGTTACATTATTTGTCTAGTGCATACTAGGTAGTATATAACACCCTGTCCACATAATATTCTTGTTTCGAAAGTAAATACCGTGAGAGGTGTTTGACCAAGAAAGTTTATACTGTGGGGGTTTATAGTTAAATTGAACTCTTTTAAAAATATTCTCCAAACGGTTAAGAGCTCCTGAATTATGTTTCCTTTAATTTCCCCACCACCAACCCCTCTAGCCACCTATATTTAGGTACATTTTAGTTCACTGTTCTGTTTCAGCATGCATGTTCCAGTGTTTTTCTATTGAATTCAATTATGCGTTTTTATTCTATTTCTCCACTCTGGGTCATCCTAAATAAGAACAGACACCCCGCCGGCTGCTCAACGCCAGTCTCCCGTCAACACGTCAAGGCCAACTGATGACAGCACTTTTGTAATCTGATACCACATCTCCAAATAAACTGCAGCGCGGCCCCGGAACAAATCCCTTCAGCGAAGGTCCACATGAACAAATCTCCCACCTCCTAACTGATAAAGACGAGGACGGCTTGATAATTAATCTGCAAGCTGTCTGTAACAGACGACACTTTCTTTACTTCCGGCTGGGAATGCATTTACATTATACAATATCATCTTCAAATAGTTCCACCTATTATATCATCAAGAGTGCCAAATGAAACAGGTAAAGTAGCCATATAGATAATTAAGATACATACCAGTGTGTTCTTGTGTTATAATGCATTTGTTTCTCATCAAATAATCTTATAAACCAACTGAGCATAACATCGATTTAAGCTACTATATATAATATGATTCATAGGATCAGTATTTTTACCTTTGTGTAGTTCTTTTGTATGCCCGTCTTTTACAAATGTTATGTAATGTTACCAATGATCAAAGTTTCATTGGAAAAAAAATAAGAAACATGGTTGCAAAATTACCCATAAAATCTAAGTTAAATACAACACATTGGTAAGGAAATATATTTCCAAGGGTAAACACAATTATCTTAGTAGTAAAGTCAAAAGAATTACAGTCACATCATATGCTTCTTCTGCATAACTCCCAACCTGTAAATCTTATGCATGTTGTTATTCATTTCGCTCTACAACCTGTCTCGGAAACTATATTTCTTCCCTTTAACACGGGGTATTCTCTATCCAAACGTCACTATGGAAATAGCCTGAAAACTTAGTGGCACATCTTGGAGCCTCGCGTTCTTCGCATGGAAATAGTTTAAAATACGTGTTTGAAATAGTATTATCTCATTCCTTAACCATTTAGGCATAACATTACTTAAAAGGAGTCGCTCTATACCCCTTCTTGGAAACTATATAGCTTCCCTCAAACACGGGAGGATATCTATACAAACGTCCCTATGGAAATAGGCTGAAAACTTAGTGTCACATCTGGGAGCGTCGCATTTGTCGCATCGAAATTACTTAAAATACGTGTTTGAAATATTATTATCTCTTTACTTAACCGTTTAGGCATAAAATAACTTTAAAATAGTCGCTCTATATCCTGTCTCGGAAACTTTATAGCTTCCCTTTAACACGAGGGGTTGTCTATACAAACGTCCGAATGGAAATAGCTTGAAAACTTAGTAGCACATCTGGGAGCCTCGCATGTTTCGCATGGTAATAGTTTAAAATACAGGTTTGAAATATTATTATCTCTTTCCTGAACCATAGAGGCATAAAATAAATTTAAAACAGTCGCTCTATATCCTGTCTCGGAAACTTTATAGCTTCCCTTTAACACGAGGGGTTGTCTATACAAACGTCCGAATGGAAATAGCCTGAAAACTTAGTGGCACATCTGGGAGCTTCGCATTTTTCGCATGGAAATAGTTTAAAATACGTGTTTGAAATATTATAATCTCTTTCCTCAACCATTTAGGGAATAAAATAAAGTAAAAAGAGTCGCTCTAAATCCTGTCTCAGAAACTATATAGCTTCCCTTTACCACAGGGGGTTGTCTATGCAAACGTGCTTATAGAAATAGCCTGAAAACTTAGTGGCACATCTGGGAGCCTCGCATTTTTCACATTGATTTTACTTAAAATGCGGGTTTGAAATATTAGTATCCCTTTACTTAACCGTTTAGACATAAAATAAAGTAAAAGTATCGCTCTATATCCTGTCTCGGAAACTTTATAGCTTCCCTTTAACACGGGGGGTTGTCTATGAAAACGTCCGAATGGAAATAGGCTAAAACTAAGTGGCACATCTGGGAGCCTCGCATTTTTCGCATGGAAATAGTTTAATATACGTGTTTGAAATATTATTATCTCTTTACTTAACCGTTAAGGCATAACATAAAGTAAAAAGAATCGCTCTATATGCTGTCTCGGAAACTATATAGCTTCCCTTTATCACAGGGGGTTGTCCATGCTAACGTTCCTATGGAAATAGCCTGAAAACTTAGTGGCACATCTGGGAGCCTCGCATTTTTCGCATGGAAATAATTTAAAATACGTGTTTGAAATAGTATTATCTCTTTCTACAGCCATTTAGGCATAACATTACTTAAAAAGAGTCCCTCTATACCCCTTCTTGGAAACTATATAGCTTCCCTAAACACGTAAGGATATCTATACAAACGTCCCTATGGAAATAGGCTAAAACTTAGTGGCACATCTGTGAGCCTCGCATTTTTCGCATCAAAATTACTTAAAATACGTGTTTGAAATATTATTATCCCTTACTTAACCGTTAAGGCATAACATAAAGTAAAAAGAGTCGCTCTATATGCTGTCTCGGAAACTATATACTAGCTTCCCTTTACCACAGGGGGTTGTCTATGCAAACGTCCCTTTGGAAATAGCCTGAAAACTTGGTGGCACATCTGGGAGCCTCGCATGTTTTGCATGAAAATAGTTTAAAATACGGGTTTTAAATAGTATTATCTGTTTCCTTAACCGTTTAGACATAAAATAAAGTAAAAAGGATCGCTCTATATCCTGTCTCGGAAACTTTATAGCTTCCCTTTATCACGGGTGGTTGTCTGTGCAAACGTCCGAATGGAAATAGCCTGAAAACTTAGTGGCACATCTGGGAGCCTCGCATATTTCGAATGGAAATAGTTTAAAATACGGGTTTGAAATATTATTATCTCTTTCCCTAACCGTTTAGACATGGAACAAAGTAAAAAGGATCGCTCTATATCCTGTCTCGGAAACTATATAGCTTCCCTTTACCACAGGGGGTCGTCTATACGAACGTCCCTATCGAAATAGCCTGAAAACTTAGTGGCACATCTGGGAGTCTCGCATTTCTCACATTGAAATAGTTTAAAATACGTGTTTGAAATATTATAATCTCTTTCCTCAACCATTTAGGTATAGAATAAAGTAAAAAGAGTAGTGCTATATCCTGTCTCGGAAACTATATAGCTTCCTTTTATCACAGGGGGTTGTCCATGCAAACGTGCTTATGGAAATAGCCTGAAAACTTAGTGGCACATCTGGGAGCCTCGCATTTTTCGCATGGATATAGTTTAAAATACGTGTTTGAAATATTATTATCTCATTCCTTTACCATTTAGGCATAACACTACTTAAAAGGACTCCCTCTATACCCCTTCTTGGAAACTATATAGCTTCCCTCAAACACGGGAGGATATATATACAAACGTCCGAATGGAAATAGCCTGAAAACTTAGTGGCACATCTGGGAGCCTCGCATGTTTCGCATGGAAATAGTTTAAAATACAGGTTTGAAATATTATTATCTCCTTCCTGAACCATTTAGGCATAAAATAAATTTAAAACAGTCGCACTATAACCCCTTTTTGAAACTATATAGCTTCCCTTTAACACGGGGGGTTGTCTATGCAAACGTCCGAATGGAAATAGCCTGAAAACTTAGTGGCACATCTGGGAGCCTCGCATATTTCGAATGGAAATAGTTTAAAATACAGGTTTGAAATATTATTATCTCTTTCCCTAACCGTTTAGACATGGAACAAAGTAAAAAGGATCGCTCTATATCCTGTCTCGGAAACTATATAGCTTCCCTTTACCACAGGGGGTCGTCTATACGAACGTCCCTATCGAAATAGCCTGAAAACTTAGTGGCACATCTGGGAGCCTCGCATGTTTCGCATGGAAATAGTTTAAAATACAGGTTTGAAATATTATTATCTCCTTCCTGAACCATTTAGGCATAAAATAACTTTAAAACAGTCGCACTATAACCCCTTTTTGAAACTATATAGCTTCCCTTTAACACGGGGGGTTGTCTATGCAAACGTCCGAATGGAAATAGCCTGAAAACTTAGTGGCACATCTGGGAGCCTCGCATATTTCGAATGGAAATAGTTTATAATACGTGTTTGAAATATTATTATCTCTTTCCCTAACCGTTTAGACATGGAACAAAGTAAAAAGGATCGCTCTATATCCTGTCTCGGAAACTATATAGCTTCCCTTTACCACAGGGGGTCGTCTATACGAACGTCCCTATCGAAATAGCCTGAAAACTTAGTGGCACATCTGGGAGTCTCGCATTTCTCACATTGAAATAGTTTAAAATACGTGTTTGAAAAAATATTTTCTTTTTCCTTAAA